CAAGGTCGGGTTTGTCGGGGAGCAGTGGAGCGACGGGGGGCGTGGGGGCAGGGGGAGAATGACGCGCCCCTACTTTATTTCTCTCTCCCAGGGACTACTACCTCTCGGCCGCCACCTGGCTCAGCGCCACCGAGGTGTCCGTCGTGTGGATGAACCGGCCGCAGAACCTGTCCATCATCTCCATCTGCAAGAGCCCCACCTGGGCTTGCGTCGAGGTAAAGGGCGGTAGCGGTAGAGGAGATTGAAATGTCGATTCTGCGTCTCTCGCGTGTTTAAACTTGCGGCTCCTTCCCGCTCACGCAGACGCAGCGCGTGTCCAACGAGGCGCGGGGCTGGGTGGACGCGCAGCCGCCGCCGCTGTTCGCGCCCGACGGCAACAACTACGTGACCATGGCGCCGGTGCGCGACGGCGCCGCGGGCTTCTTCCGCCACATCGTGCACGTCAACATCACGCGCAAGCGCGTCGTGCCGCTCACGCACGGCAAGTTCGAGGTGGCGCGCATCCTGGCCTGGGACCACCAGCACCAGCAGGTGTACTACCTGGGCGTGCCCGAGGGCCGGCCGGGCCAGCTGCACCTGTACGTCGTGGGCTCGGCGGCGCTCGGGCAGGGCGAGGCGGCGCCCGTGCCGCGCTGCCTCACGTGCACGCCCGACAAGGGCGAGGCCGGCGGGAGCACCAGCAGCTACTACAACCAGGCCGCCACGGACACGGCCAGGACCGAGGACGCGGGCCAGGACGAGTGGGACGACCTGGAGCACTCGACGGAGCCGCCCGTCACCACGCAGCAGCCCACCAGGAAGAAGGAGAAGACGGGTGAGTTCCCGACGGAGTCCCCACCGCCACATGCGCGTCCCAGCGCGAGCGAGTGATTCGTTAAGCGGCGCCACATTTGACGCACTAGCGGCGCCGCTTCTCGATCAACTCATAAAAAATAATATTAATGAGAAATAGACTCCCCCACCACCACCACCACCATAAGCATCTCTATGGGACAGAGTATCGACCGTATCTCTATGCCCACTCACAAAGTGCCAGGGCCGCGGGCAAAAGTCAATACTCCTCGCAAAACTACTTTTCATGAAGCGTGTCGCGGTGTCGCGCCAGTCCGTACTTTGCCGGGAACCCACCCCCTCCACCTCCCCCTCCTACACCCCCTCCCCTTCGTGGGGTATCGCCGTCACGCGGGGCGCTGCGGAGCCTCGTGCGGGGTGCTGCGACCCCCACGAGCTGGCACGTGGGGTACTGACGTGACGACCGCCTCCCGGTTGCAGCGCCGGTGCCGCGGGTCGAGGAGATCCTGGTGCGGCCGTGCCTGTACCACAACGCCGTGTTCAGCCCCAAGCTCACCTACTTCGTGCTGGAGTGCAAGGGCCCGGGCATCCCAAACGCGCGCCTGTTCCGCACCCGGGCGCCTCGCAACCGCACCGCCGAGACCCACAGTCCGGGCCACGCCCCGAGCTACGGCCAGGGCCAGGGCCAGGGTCAGGCGCACCAAGGCCACGCGCCGGGGCACGGCCAGGGCCACCAGGGCCACGCGCAGGACGGGCCGGACCACGCGCCCCTCTTCCTGGCCACGCTGCAGAACAACACCCGCCTGCAGGAGCTGGCGTCCAAGATGGCGCTGCCGCAGGTCAAGACGTTCCCCGTGCAGATCTCGGGCGGCTACTACGCGCAGGTGCGTCTGCACCTGCCGCCCGGCCTGCGCGAGGAGGAGATCACCCGCTACCCGCTCGTCGTGCAGGTGTAAGTACAGCACGGGGACCGCGTGCGCTTCCAGCCCGAGGAGGCCGTGGCTTGACTCGTCTGCTCCTGCGCAGGTACGGCGGCCCGGGCACGCAGCTGGTGACGGAGAAGTGGCGCGTGGACTGGAGCACGTACCTGGCCTCCTACAAGGACTTCATCGTGGCGCAGATCGACGGACGAGGCTCGGGTGGCCAGGGCTACAAAATGATGCACGAGGTGTACCAGCAGCTCGGCACCGTCGAGGTCAACGACCAGCTGGAGGTCACCGAGTGAGTACCCGCGCCCTTCTCGGGTGGTGGCACTCAGCTGAAGCCCCCGGTTTGCACGATGGTCCTCTGCCCGTACAGGTACCTCCGGGATACGCTGCACTTTGTGGACAAGAGGCGGGTGGGCGTGTGGGGCTGGAGCTACGGCGGCTTCGTGTCGGCCATGCTGCTGTCCAAGGAGCAGGACGTGTTCCGCTGCGGCATCAGCGTGGCGCCCGTCACCTCGTGGAAGCTGTACGGTGAGTGTCGCGTTGGCCCCCGCCGTGGCGCCGCGTGGCTGCCACCTCGGCCGGCTTTAATGTCCCCTGCTATGGTAATCACCCGACCGCGAGTCTAACTGCTCGGCCGCTAGGCCCGTCTGGGAACTCAGCTGTGCGTGCGAGAAAGTGCGTGCGTACACTGCACGACTGTTGTTACGACTCCTCTTGGTTGTTTTTCTCGCGAGTTGATGTTTCACACTCAATAGATGCACACTCAAGTTGTGCACATCAACCGTGCACATACGTACTTTCCCGCACGCGCAGGTGAAATGGTTCTACTTCCAACGCTCCCACCACCCCACCAGCACCTGGACATTGAATTACCATAGTGGACGACCGAATTGTTTAAATGTGCCCCGAAAACAAATGGCGTGCCAGGCGAAACTAATCAATTATACTGAGGCATTCTTAAACTGATCGAAACGTTTCCATGCAACACCATTATTTATGGAGGAGGATACGCGACAGCGGAAAGTTGTTTTCCTCCCAATAGTTTTCGGTTTCTCCGACGTTTCGCTGAAGCGGCAGGAGAAGAGGCGAATAATCGAACGGAAGTCAGAAATGAAGAGTGCGACAAACTGTCCTGTGTTTTAGATTCACCCTACTATTTGAGAGGGAGCGGTAGGCTGCGCAAAACATTATGACACTTTCATTCAGCTATGTTGCTGCCGTTCCTGACTTACGTTGTTGTTTCGTTCTTCGCTACAAGAGACCTCTGAACTGCCCCCTGTCTGCCGCGGCGTGCCTCCACCCCGTGCGCCTCCCGCGTGACGCACCGCCCGGGCCGCGCGCGCCTCTCCAACGCACGTCCGCTCGTACCAGACGACAACAACTACTTGTGGCGGCAGCAAGCCCATTCCGGTTTGCGTCACCATTTCGTCCTCTTTACCTTTCTCTATGCGCGCCGAAATTCAAGTCGTCGCAATTTATTCTGCGGGAAGGAGCGCGCCTTTGGTGAGGGAGGAGACGCTGAATGTTTAACCGGCCGGGATACGGACGCGGAGAAATGTTCGCCGACGTCACGAGTCCCCTCATTCGCATGAACGACACTACTGCTTCGTGGTTCCTAGACCTTTGCACCCGCCAAACGAATGCGGAAGCGCTCGGCGGGAGGAGTGAGGGTTTGCAGAGGAAGGGGGAGGATGAGAACTCGGCTGATTGTTGCAGACTCCGCGTACGCCGAGCGGTACATGGGCGTGCCCAACGTGACGGGCAACTACAAGGGCTACAACGACGCCGACCTGACGCGGCGCGGGGATGGCTTCCGGGGCAGCGACAAGATGTTCTTCCTGGTGCACGGCTCGGCCGACGACAACGTGCACTTCCAGCACTCGATGATGCTGTCTCGCGCGCTCACCGCCGCCGGCGTGCTCTACCGGCAGCAGGTTGGCATCCTGACGACTCCCATCGCGAATCCCGAGCGCCGTCTCTTGTGTCTCTAATGTGCGTGCCTGGTCCACAGATCTACCCCGACGAGAACCACAGCTTGTTTGGCGTCAAGCGGCACCTGTACCGGTCCATGGCCAACTTCATGGACGACTGCTTCCGGAAGCTGGTGCCCCCCGAGCGGAAGGCTGGGCTGCGCAACGGCGGCGCGCCGGGCGAGCAGTGAGGCGCCCGGACCCCCTACATAGTCTTCCTCTCGTGCCGTAGGCGCCGTAGGCTCTCGCCCTGTCGCGTCCTTGTCTTCCAAGTCTCCCCTCAGCGGCCCGACCGCCCATCTTATTGTTAAGTCATGAACTTTTCTACTTGGCCACGGTAGGTCCTTCTGCAATGCACGTGTAGGAACTCGCCCGCCCTTCATCCCTTCCCCCTCCCTCTTCTCTCTCTTTTTCTGCGGGCGTTTCAATTCATCTATCGATAGTGAAAAGATACCGTTATGGCCCCGATTATCTTTTCTTGACACTTCGAAGCTTGATTACTCTTTCAGCCGTGTGCCGAATGTTCTAGCCTGTATATGGAGGTGGTATGGATAATTTCGTGTATGTAAAGAGTGTTTGAAACGATATTCAAGCTCCTAATCTGCAGCAATTCACTGCGTTCTTGAAAAGTGTGGTTTTGTTTCGGCATATGGATTGGCAATGGACGGTGTCATCACGGAATGTCTTCCTTTTGAGGATGGTTATGAAAACGATTGCAGTGCCAAATTTGTGATATTTTGTGCATTGTGCTGACGTTGAATGTGTTGTGCACGGTAAGAAAACTATTTGCTCAGGCTGTGTTTTCAATTTCCTGTGTAAAAAATGATTAAACAAAGTTGTTATAATTATTACATTGTAATGGTGATTATGATAATAATTTTAATTGAGTAATGTTAAATGGTACTTTCTGCTATGACAACAGTTGCGTTGTGGCCTGCGATAAAGTAGCTTCTGTGATTAAATTTTAAAATAAATTTTATCATAAAACCGTGATTTTAGAATAACATATTCTAAAACTTGCTGGAACTTATATACACTGAGCTAGGAACAAGTTTTGTTGCCCTCAGTCGCTCGTTTCGTATCTACGACAGACCTTGCAGGTACATGCTGCTTTTAAACCGATGGATATGTAGAACCCGCGAAAGAAAATTTTAAAAAATCCTCTATAATTGGCACGTATGAAATGAACGAAACGCACCAGGCTTAATTCGCTTAGTTTGCTTTTACCACGACAATTTTACAAATAAAAAATGCGTAACAACGGTCATTAAGAATGTCACTGTGCATAATGTCAAAGGTTAACCATGCGCCATCTCGCGAGTATCTTTAGTGTAGCCCTTTCAGTCAGTGGCACCTTTTCGCATTGACAATAAATTGAAAACTGTGCATTACGCTTGTGTATTGAAAAGATGCAAATTTAAGAGGGCGCGGTAATTGTGTACCAGAAATCACGCTTCTGTAATGTAACGGCTTGCTTACCCTACAGAATTCGAAATGTTCCTCTATTTTTCTGTTTTTACGATGCATTGTTTTATTGAACTGTTACGTAGGCAATAGTTTCAATTTTTATCTAAGGCACCTGAAAATACTGCTAAGCTTAGAAAACTCGATAATGAGCAGTATTTTGCTGCGGCGAACGAAATATGTTCCTCGTTTATTTGACATAACTTTGTTGATTTTAAGTCAGAGCCTTACACTGGCCAGGTAAAATTTTAAATGCTTATGCCTCCAGGATGTGGTCCATGTCCAATAATTGGCTACCGGACGGTGTTTTGTTAGCGTTTGTGATGCACTTTAACTTAAAAGTATCGGGGCCAAAAGCACGTTGTGTAGGCTATGTATAAGACGAGCTACAGTTCGCTATAGCAATAAAAACATGTCACTTTAAAGAACTTTATGGATTGAATCTTTTGTAGCCTAGTGCAATTTTTATTCTATTCTTGTCCTTAAAACAAACGCTTTTTTAAAAGAGTGGAAAATTGCTGAAAGCAGCGCTTAAATGCACCAATCTGATCAACATAAAATGTTAAAATATTCTGTCTAGCGATCGCCTTTGAAAATTTCCAATTTTTTTTTATTTCCAGATTAAATAGTAGGAAATCATCTTCAGTCAGGCTACCCAAATAACTTATGTACGCTCTCCTGCACTCAGGTTACGGCTACCTAAGATGTCAGAAGCCTCGAACGTGTGTCAGAAAAGTTGCACTACCCAACATATCACAGGCTTTTATGGTTACGGTGATTAAATTCCTTCAACGAACCAATTGGTGTTTACAAATCTATTCTTAAGTATTGTACTTGACCTAAATAGTCTAGAATACTATACAAATACATACAAATTATTATGTATACAATTTCTACGTGTGCTGCGCGCGTCTTTTCGTTTTCCAGCAGTGTCATTTCTCTATTTCAGGTAGATAAAGGATCGTCACTATTTTGTATCATTTCTAAGCGCCATATCACAATACCTCGTAAGGTCCGTTCATCGTTCTGCATCGAAATAACTTTGTAATGTACATATATTTTTAGACATAGATATATTACAGTTGTTTGACGTCATTGAAATTTTAACTTGTTGGGGGTGTTGATTTGGTTGGTTCAGGTGTATTGAAACGTTTCCAGGTAATACCCTTACTCTACAAGAGTACATACGCATGTATGTGTTTTTTGTTTGTTTACGTGAACTTTTTAACCCATTATCAGCCTACTTTTGGCAGTGGCAATCGATATTTCAAACAAATAAGTTGAATAATAAGACGTTTTCTTCCTACACGATCTATCCATGTGGAGTGTGTATGTGATACTTGAAAGTGAAGTTACACCGAAAAGATGCGGGTAGTGTAATGTGAGCCGGACAAGCATCGAAGGCCTACTGATAATTTTCACTGTCGATTTCAGTTTGAATCGCGATTAAAAATTGGCATATTTTCTATTTTGGCCACTAATTACCGGCTTATAATGGGATGGCTTATGGTAGCTTGATTTAGATTTTATGTCGGGCCACACTGCCCACTGTGATGCTGAAAGTGAAATATTATGTAGAGGAATAGTATCTAGATCTAGATCAGTACTTTCCCAAACTATATTCCATATTTTCCTTGCATTTTAATCTTATCATTTCACTAATTGGGCAGGAATGTTTCTCCGGCACAATTTTTAAAATTAGATGATAATTTTATACCTATCCAGATGAATACCTCGCACGTGGTGATGTAATTGGATTAGAGGGCCGCCAAAATCTTTTTCAAGCCAGTGGCAAGGGACAAATACTTGCTCCTTTACTCGTGTAGGAAAAAAATCTTCTCCCAATGAATTATTGATTTTTGTGCGCATTTCCCAGCCAGAAATGAAAGACGAATCAACGTCGAAGCGACGTCGATGTTGCTCGAAATGTACGCAATTTTGTCTCTCAAATCGAGGTATCAAGGTCGAATCGAGGTCGAAGAAATTTTAATTTCAGGCTGATTTTTTACCTATAGCTTGGAGTTAATATTACTTCTTTGCGCGAGATGTGGAAATGCTCGATTGTACTTGTAATTTAATATGATTGGCAAAAGTTGAATTGGATTTGGCAACCCATGTCCTGTGTCACGACTTAATGCTGCCATTACTTACGGGTACATTGCGTTTGGTTGTGTCGTGATGGAAGCGCATAAAGATTGTAAACAAAGTCGACAGTTGACTACTCTGTACCGGGTGATTCAGAGAAGACGCAGGTGCAGGCGGCTTTGCCTACACGCTCTGTCCGTAAGGCGCCATAGCCCCTTGGGTAGGCAAACCCGCCCGTACCTGCGTCTTCTTTTAATCACCCGGTATGCACTTAGTACAGACGGCGGCTGTGCACCCTATCCTGTGGGTACATTGGAAAAACAATGATACTAAATGTAAGTCCTTTTTTTTTTTAATGCACTAAAATATTAGTGCATTAACAAAGGAACTAAATTTTAGCTTCTTTAGGGCTCTTTACTGTCAGTTTTACAATCCTGCCTGCAGACACTGGAAAAATTAGTGTGATATGCGTCACATTACAAGTGTGACGTCCTTCGCATGTCGCATTTGGTGTGACCGCATTTTTGGTCACGTTTGTAGTGTGGCCTATGTGTTCTGCCTATAACTTAGTTTTTCCAGTGGAGCGTGACGATTGACCATTTGTGGTCACGCCGTTACCGCATTGAATGTGTTAAAACACAGTTTAGCTGCTCCTTTCGAGACTCACACTGGAAACGCAAGTGTGTGAATGTCGCTCATTTTTGTAGATGAGCGAATATCCGTTCGTACACTTACGGAGGGTAAACGTTTAAATTTTCTCAGAAAAATTCACACGTTTACCCCCCTAAATGTACAAATGGATATTCACACACCTACAAGTGTGCGACATTCACACACTTGTGTTTCCAGTGCAGGTAGTGCTTTGCTAATCCACACGAACTGCGCGAATCTTGAACAGCGCGACCGAGCTGGCTAAGTGTCGAATGGCCCACTACCCGCATGTCTATAGTCCAAGGTCTCAAAGACACGCTGTTGTTAGTGTTGGTCGACTTTGTTATTTATCAAAATAGTCATGCGTTAACAACACGACCTGGGCCCAGTGAGATATTTTAACGTAACGGAACACCTTAAGGGGCTAAGTGGCTCTCACGAGATGTGCGAAACATTATTAGTGGTATATTTAAATTCGATGCATTATACTGACTTAGTAAACCTTTTAGATAATATTCTTAATTCTGATATAGCATATTTCTACTTTCTTTTTAAAGTGTACATTTTTGAGAATTGAATTCGCCAAATAACCAACGACCACCTCAATGCACTATGTGGTGCCCAATGTTTTTGTCTCTTATTTGCCAGGCACACTGGTTGCATTGTTAAATCTTCCTAGTCTATATTTTGTAGTAATAGGTATTTCCTGGTTGTTGCGTGGTAAACTTTGTGTCAAGCGGTGCTCAATGCCTCCCATCTTTACCCTTCAACTTCTGGCGTTCATTTATTTTTTGATCTACGTCAATATTTTAAACGTATTTTAATTTTTTCAGATAGTAGTTGATAGTAGTTTTATCAGCCCTTTCTGATTTCTTCTAACCCCTCCACGTCTATTTTTGTATATCGTGAGAGTGAAGCTGCCCCACATCCCTCTAGGGCCATAATAGGGGTGCTTTCTGGGTAAAAAGTTACACAAGTCGGGTGAGCCCCCTTTTTATATAAACACTGAACTAGATGAGAACAGATTTTATGTATGATTTTGTACCCGCAAGATGCATACTGTATATTTCATTTTAGCTTCCTAAGATTCAGGTAAATGACTTGAATGTTTGACACAAACGTTTACCTCTCCAATGTTCTATTGTGATCCTTTAAAATTTGATCAATTACCAAATTATGCGACGTTACTCTCGTAGGAATACACTTCTGTCGTTTCTATTATACTGTACAAAAGTATTAAGTTTAAACTTATGTCATTTCCATGAAATTTACAATATATACTAATTAGGTTTAAATGCTAAACTTGTTACGTTTTTGAGAAAATTTAAAAGTCTACACATTCTTAGAAAAAATATAGCGTATACACTAATTTGATTTTTTTTGACTTTCTTTGTCCTTTTCCTACGACAACAACCTACAGCAGAAAATGTCGTTCGTGGCTCCAAGGCAAACTAATTGACAAATAGGAGCCCGTCATCTTACATGGCGCCATCGCTCAGGTTCCAATATGTGGCACACTGACACCTTTGACGTTGTACAGTGGGCACATTCACTGCCCTTGTAGCATACCTCAGCACCTTTCGTATGAGGAAGTCCCCCTCTTTTCCCTGTGCTCCCTCCTTCCGATGTCACCCAAGCCAACGTGTAGTCTGGTTTGGCAGGACAAACATGTGGGGAGGGGGAGGAAAAGACATGGGTGGTGGGGCGGGCGAGGGTGATACAACTAGTTGGGGCTCGTTTGCTTTCATTAGTTGTCGTGGCATTAACTCGCACAGTCCTTTGTCACCGGCCTTACGGTAAGGCGGCAGGTGCCACCCGCGACATCCCGACATCTAGTGTTGCGTTTCCTGAAGAGCAGGCAAGTTGCATCACTTAAGAGTGACTTGACGCGAAAAGTATTATAGACCACGTGAATTCTTGGTGTGTAACAAAGCTTTTTTAAAGAAGGGACAAACCTGTGCCTTGTTTTGAAATCGCAAACTTTTAGCATCTTTTAGTTCGACTAACATTTCTTCGTCTTAGTAAAATGTGCAGGAACGTCAAATCACCCGAATTTGAAAACATGTGTCCCATTAACATGATGACACTTATGTATTGAAGTCGAATGTTTGCCGCTGAGCCAGTATTGAATTTTTCAAATTTCACCAATTATAAAATATTTTGTCTTGAGCAGGCATCCTCGTCATTTTTTGTCTGCTCTATAACGACGGGCGTAGTAGTATATTCACTTCAGCTGCAAAATGCGAGATTGTAAATTTGAACTGCAATATGTAAGGGAGATTAGGCTACCAACCCCTTCCTGGGTGGTTGTTCGAACACATGAATCTTAGGGAAGAGGGCAAGAATATCAAAATCTGGTCTGCGAATATTCTCTCTCTCTCTCTCTCTCTCTCTCTCTCTCTCTCTCTCTCTCTCTCTCATGTGTGTGTGTGTGCGCGCTCGCGGGGAGAGGGTAGGTCTGTAAAAGTACCGCCGGCCGACCGGCTGTCCGTCCGTGACCCCCTTGGTTTTATTGAAATGGCTGTGCGACGGTTGGTTCTCGAGAACGAAGCGTTTTTCCAAATGCACGTCAACGGCGGACGGCGGGTGTAGCTAGCCACACTCGTTGCATGCATTAAAACGCTCGTTTCTCCAAAACCAAACGTCACACATAAATTTTTACAAGACAAAATCTAAATATTTGAAGCTGTTGAAATGTTAAATCAACACTTGCTATCGCAACCGTTGACGGGCGGACGGCGGTACAGTGTTCTTACAGACCTGCGGAAGAAGGGGTGATGGTGATTATTATGTTCACGAATTGCCTAGGCGATTCAAGAGGGGGCAACAACCCCCTTTTGATGTGTACACATGATTCCCGAAATACTCGATTCCTAGTGATTCCCGTCCGCTTATATTTATTCCTAAGGTTTAATACAGAATGGTAGAAAACGCTTGTTTCGACAAATTTGTACCAGTTCCACTAGTTTCCCGATTAGGTTAAGCGATTTCTGTTGATTTCGATTAATTTTCATCCCGATGATTCCCAGGCAGGTGAACACATGATTCTCGGAGTTGTTGCCCCCTCGCGAATCGCTTTGCATTCTGTTAGTGCCACGTGTTACTCTAAAAACACAACTGTCGTACTTTTGCAACCAGGCGTGGTTTAAGGGGTGGGGGAAATCACCCCTCCACCTTTTCGTTTGTAGTTAGCTGGCTGAAAGGTAGGCAATTTGCCCTACAAACCCCTGCAGCTAACCGTTCGTTCTCACTGTAAAACTTAAAGCGATCTTTCTTGCACGAATAGAGCGACGGAAGGCTGCATCGCTCGGTCAGAGCGATGTTTGCGAAGTGACTCAATATGAGTCTTCCTCGTAACCGAAATATAAAAACGACTGTAAACGAGCGATGTTTGCGGGAATGTCCGAGGCCCCCCCCCCCCCTTTTCCAAAATAGGTTACAACGAGTTGGCGAGTTGCCGCGAGTAGGGCGTGGGTTGGGATCAATTTTTACAGAGTTTTGCGCGATTTTGGCGCGAGTAGTCGCGATTTTGACGCAAGTTTTCGCGAGTTTTTGCTAGTTTTCGCGAGTTTTTGCCAGTTTTTGCGAGTTGTCGTGAGTTGAACGCGAGTTAGGCGCGGGCAAGTGTACAACGAGTTGGCGTGTGGGGGACCCCTCGGAAATGGCTCAAAGTGATTCGTATTCGTCAACAAAAATGCCACAAAACTGACTGTAAACGAGCGAGGTGAATGATATTGCTCCCCCACGAGTAATAAAATTTGATTCACAACCTCGCTCTCCCAGGAGCGAGTTTGGTCGCTCCTTTACTTGCAGGGCTGTCAGCCACACCTACTACTGCGCCTGGTTGTTGCAACCGTGGGAATGTCCAACAAACTGCAGTATGCTGAATGTTATATTTGTTAAAACTGGGAAGCCTGGTCCTACTTTTAAAGAGGACAGGCTTGCAGAGTACTTGCACGTGGAGTCATGACCTAACAGCATTATTTGGCGATGGCGATGTATCGACGTGCTCTGATAAACTAGGTGTGCATTTGCTCCACACTTGTAAGTGTGCAACTGCAAGTTCAATACTTTCAAGTAAGAGTTAAACATCGTAGAGGTACACATCCAAGTGTTCAACTCGGTAGCTGTGCACTTGCCACGTAATGAGCGTCCAATCTGAGGAAGTGTTGAACCGAAGAGTTGCACACTTGCAGGTGCACAGCTACCGAGTTAAGCACTTCCAAGTGCACGCCTACGAAGTTGAGCACTTGCAAGTGTTAAGCAGTTGCACACTTTGTGAAAGTGTGATAACGAAAAATTTATTTCACATCGCTGTATGTTAGTCGTTTTACCATTAACGTCTTTCGATCCACGTGATCTACAGGGTGGTCCATCAGCGCCGTTTCTTTCTTCTCACTGGTAAAACAAGTGTTTAATTTTGCACGTCAATTGACGTTTAAGTTCAAGTGTGCATTTTTTCGACACTTTGTGGTGTCTAACTATGTTATACGTCAATTGGTGTTTAAACTTTCGACACTTCCGAAACGTATAGCATCTGCACACCGTATTATGGTTTCCTATTGACAGCATAAAACTGTGTGTCCAAGTGTGCAGAATTTAAACGTTTACAAAACGTCTGAAATTTGCACGCAAGTGTGCAACTTGAGTTTAACACAATGTATTGTGCTTAATCACAACTTGCACACGTTTGGTGTGCAAATATTGCTGCACACTTGTTTTACCAGTGCTGGTCATAGTGTCCTGGATAGTGGCGTGCGAGTGGGTTGCATACTCGCACGGGGGCGTAAGGTGCCTCGCTGAACGACGATAGGCGAGTTCGCCCACCGCCTGCACCCGGTACAGAACAACACGGAGAGAGGACGGCGCTGATGGACCTGCATGTATTTGGACTCTGCATGGATGAATGACCGTGGTGTTCAACCAGCTAGAAAAGCAAAAAATGGCTCACGAGCTGCGAGTTTGAGCCCCTAAACTAGAAACGGCTAGACCACTGCTAACATTATCACCCAGCACTGAAGGGATTGACAGAAGCGGCATTAACATAAGGTTACATCCTTATGTAATGGCTTTCTATTAGCAAGTTAATTTCTACCTCTGCACTGGAAAAATTAAAGTGCGGTGTCCTACCTCTCAATGGGTGTAACCCGTTTTAGGAGTCTTAAAGCAACATTTTCAGATGTTTTAAAACATTACCTGTATTATTTGGATCAAGCCACACATTTTTTGATAATCGCATATATCCGCGTCGATAGAACCTTCATTTGATGGGGTTCTCATTAACACGTGTACGTTCTTCGACGAGGAATTTTGCGTAGTTTTCGAAAGTAGGGCCTAAGAGTATATTCTTATTCCACAGGTAGGAAATAGTTCGTCAAGTGTGGCCCTGTAAGGTTGGGGGTTGGGTGGGGGGCAACTGTCATGGCCCCCAATTGTAAACCATTTTGGGAGTCTGTGACCATGAATGTTGCTAAACCCTTGCGTCACCTACGAAACTTGCGAAAACAGGCCATAGCTACACCGAAAAAAATGGTCCATGTTATGTTTATTCGGGGCCTGCAAAGATATTCATCACTGTTTATTCGTTTCAGATCAAAAATGGCGTCCCTATTGAGATCTTGTTTTTCTTTTTATGACTATTGCTTCCACGAGCTTGGAAGTAAGTTGTTTTCCCTCCAAAGTTCAATTGATTTACTAAAATATTATTTTATCACTCTCAGAGTTGCGGAAATATTGATTTTTTTTCTTTGTCACAGATCCACACATAAAAGATTGGTTCCTTATGTCATCGCCCTTTCCAACGTTAGCAATAATGGGAATATACCTTTGGTTTGTGAAGGACTACGGCCCAAAATTAATGCAAAACAGGCCCGCCTACGATTTAAAACGAACAATGCAAATTTACAACCTAATTCAAGTGTTTCTGTCTGGTTACACTTGTTACAAAGTAAGTTTTAAATAGACCGAGAGAAGGCTACTTAGCTGACTGCGGTTGAGGGCTAGCGAGGGTGGAAGCGCGTAGCCAAGCACCCGCACTGATACACTAAGTTTTCAACTGCTGAACACCTGCAAGTGTGCTACAGCAAGTTAAATACTTGCTAGTGTGCAACTGCAAGTTGAATACTTGCACGTGTTCAACTCGGTAGGTGTGCACTTGCAAGTGTGCAACACCTCGGTTGAGCACTTCCTTCACAGTGAGCGTTTAATCTAAGGAAGTGAACAACCGAGGAATTGTACCCTTGCAAGTGCACACCTACCGACTTGAACTCTTGCAAGTGCACAACTACGGACTTACACACTTGCAAGTTTGCAAGTATTCAACTTGCAGTTGCACACTAACAAGTGTTGAGCAGTTGAACACTTAGTTTATCAGTGCGATCTCCGATACCAAAGTGAGCTGCGGAAGCGGGTGGCAGCACGCTCGGGCACTCGGCACGGCGCTACGCACTGCCTCCCGTGCCAGCCTCGAACCGCAGGTGGCCTGGTCTCTTCCTCTCTCCTCCTACTGCCTGCTAGTTTTGAAGTGCTTCATGTTCCTTTTTGTTTTACATATACATTGAATGTTCATCACAGCTATTGGCACATGGATGGTTGACACGTTACAGTTGGCGATGTGAACCTACTGTCTTCTCATTAGATGATCCGGAAGACTATATCGTAAGCTTGATATGTTGTCTGTATAAGTTCCTCATTTTCTGTAAACATATTTTTTATCTATATTCTCTTTATTTTCGTAGGTTGCAACTATGGTGCACTTGTACTATGTCACGAAAATAATTGATTTGTTAGACACAGTAAGTTACTAAGGAAAGGTTAAAGGCTGATGTAAGAAAAACATTTTATTTAAACTATCATAATTTTTTGCAGATTTTCTTTACTTTGAGGAAAAAGTGGAATCAAATATCTTTTCTCCACGTGTACCACCATTGTGGAATGGTCGCTCTTAGCTGGAGTGCCGTCAAATGGTTCACAAGTAAGCCGAGAATCCTAGTTAAAATCCACAATTTATTTGTTTTATTTATTAATGAAATACATTTGTTCTCTGACAGCTGGACACGGCAGCATGATAATGATGCTCAACTCAGGTGTACACACACTACTCTATCTTTATTATTTCCTGACCTCGGTTTCTTCAGAGTACAATTCCGCGTGGTGGAAAAAATACCTCACAACGATTCAGCTGGTTAGTTTATAATAAGCTTTTTAAACAAATAGACGAACCTATGTGGAATTCCCTGACATGTTAATTGTTTCTGTTTATAGGTGCAGTTTATGTACATTTGCATTCACTTTGGTCAGACGGTGCTCCACAATCCATGCCACTTTGGGTGGGTCGGACAGGTCGTTGTCATTCCTCAGAACGTCTTCATATTTACTCTGTTTGCAGATTTCTATTACAAGACTTACATTGCCAAGAAAAAGTCAACATAATTTTTACGACTGTGATGTTGAGTGTATCGTGTGTATGATTGTTTGTATGTGTGTGTGCGTGCGCGTGGGCTTCTGCCTGTGTGTTTGTATGAATCTGAGAAAGAGTGAAAGATAACTTATCGTGGAGCCAATAAGGAATAATGGGATGCAAGTGATTATGATACATCTTGTACATAGGTTTTGTACATATTTCGTGTTACCTAAAAATGTATTTACTTGTGCCGGACCATGTTAACTACTTTTTAGACAATTATTTATCAGTTCAGATATTCTCTGGCTCAGAGACTATTATTAAATTAATTTTAAACAAAAAAAAACTTTATCCAGTGTTTTTATTAAATTAAATGAGTTATGACCTGCTTTAGTATCAGAAGCACTTTGTTTTACTTTGGAGGATAAAAGTTTGGGGGGGGGGGCACACATAATATTGAGGGACAATTTTTGTACGTAGGCTAGCCCAGCTAGAAATGGCATGTCGCAAGTAAGCTGTTTTTTCGGCTTCTTTGGTCGAACCAGAGGCCCAAAAATACGTCGAAACGACGAATTTTTCGACGAGTCGATATCGATTCGACGAAAATCGATACAACGTTTCTGGCTTGGAGATGTGTCTTAGTGCAAATCTTCCTACGTTACATACAAAATACAGCATTTGTAACTAGCCTAGGTACAATTTGTACCTCCGTACAGACAAATTTGTATCTGATGAATATGTGTTCAAAGACAAATCTAATCTGAGTACAAAAATTGTCGCCCCCCATTTAGAGTGTGAGGGAGGAAGGAGGTATAAAATGGAATAAGTGAAATATTTTGTTTTAACTTGACACAGCAGCAAGACCTTAGCCCCGGGTTGACCTTTCCCTTTCTCCCTCGCCACCTGCTACCCCCGAATTACCTCGTCCGCTTGGTTTCCAAGCTTCCGTGAATTGTCAACGAGGGGACTGGCCGCTTGAGCAATTCAACTTTGCGCAAGCGAAGCGGCGCGCCTTCGGCGTGCCGGCCGAGGGCTGTTAGACCGGAGCAGTCGAGTGCCAGCCAGCAACATGAGCGTCCTGCAGGGGCTGTGGGAATGGCAGCACCTCCACTTCGTCGAGAGAGTCGGTGAGTCGGCAGGTCGACACAGTCCACGGGTGCCACAAGTCTAAAAAGCCCGCACGGCTGCATCTGGTGCAGCATAACCAGAGGAAAATACGGAGTCGATGGGCCAGCGAGCACTGTTCCGCATGCATAAGGTGCCCCCACGAACGGGAGCCATGGACCATGAGCCATGACTCCCGGGCCATCTTTCCTCAAACTGCAGTTTGCCCACATGCCCAAATTCACGCAGTTTTTAGCGCAAATATCTAAAGTAAATTAGCCAACTGCAACTGTGAGATACGGCTCTGAGAGAAGGGCCCTAAGTCCCACGGAGAGCCATGAGCTATGTGCCATACGGTGACCAGAGACCATCGCATAGGGGCCGAACTCGCAATTTAATATTCGATTATTGTTACATAAAAGTGCGTTAAGATTCTAGCAAAAATGGTCCGTCGCTGATGGCCCATGGCTCATGACTTCCGTTCATTTGTGGGGGCACCTGTACGCGTGGATGCGATGCCCACCCTACTCCCAAGGGGCCATAATAAGGCGCCGTGGGGAGAGACAATGGGAAGCCTGTGAAAAAGAGTTGTAGGTTTTACGGTAAAATTTCCACGATGCGTGTCGTAAAATTACAATTCAAAATTCTAAAATTACAAGAACGCACGTATTGACATAGAATTCGTCAACGAGCAGAACTGGGCTGTCATCAATTTACAACATATTTTGTAAATATTAAATGATAGTAACCGCCCCTCTCTCACACATACTCTCTATATTTCTCTCTCTCTCTTTCTGTTCAGATCCTCGCATTGCCATTTATCCGCTTTTCGGCCCCTCGTTCGGCCTCGGGCCGCCATGGGGCCTTTTCGGGGTTGTTGCCCTGTACGTATATTGTGTTAAGTTTCTGGGTCCGCGACTCATGAAGGACAGGCAGCCCTTCGAGCTGCGAAAAGTTATGATCGTCTACAACGCCATGCAGGTCTTGTTGTCCGGGTACACCTTTTATGAGGTAAAATGATAACAGACACAACCCGTAATTTGTTATGTCCACTTTTATTGATAAGTGGATAAGCCTTGTGTGGACACAGTCTTGGGTTGCAGGTTGGGGCGGTCGATATAATTGGTTTTGCCAGCCTCTAGGCCCGAGTGACTACACACCAATGGACATTCGAGTGCGTACATGTGAATTGCCGATTCTAGTGTTGTCATAATCTTGTTTCTTAAAATGTAACTTTTGTTTTGCAGGCGGCTCGCTGCTCGTACTTGTACTTCTTCAGTAAAATAATTGATTTGGCGGACACGGTAAGATATAGATACCTAGCGTAAGGTGGCCTATTGCGTTCACTGTAAGAAAAACCTACAGCTATTTGCTGCACAATACAGCGTTGTACTTTGAAATAACAATATCATATTGTTTTTCCAGTGCTTTCACCCCACAATATACAATGAAAATTTCACAATCCTTTACTGGTTAATAATTGACAGCACCAGACTGTTAAATTGCAGGTTTTTCTTACAGTGATTCCACTAAACAGGCTATCCCGCGCTTGGTCTGTCACAGGGTAAAAAAATGTTGAACAGCAGACAGCAGTAACGTTTACAATGTTCCCATTGATATGTCTAGTTTTTCATCGTCATGCGAAAGAACTACAAGCAACTCTCCTTCCTTCACGTATACCATCACGCAGTTATGGTCCTCGGCGTGTGGTATGGTATCGCCTATTCACCAGGTAAGTGTATCGAACAATAGGCAGCCGTCTCGTAACCGGGCGGTTGATTGGCTGAATCGCCCCGCCCACATTTCGTTGGCTCCGAAGAGAACAAGCCATCCGCCACTGGACGGTTAAAACAATGTCTAATTTTTTGAGGGAAAAGGGAAATCTTTGAGAAACTCCCCTGCACTGTAAAAAAAATAATCACGGTCGCCCATACGGAAATATGCCGTTTATTTAACCTACGGCGTCTCTGTACCTTGGGTTTCGCACCCTCTTCCCATAAGAGCCCATGTAAAAAAAAACGTGGGTACGGCGCCAGGGTACGGAACGGTACGGAAAAAGTCCTGTTAATTTTGATCCGGAAGTCTTCGTCTTGAGTACGGAGTCTGTTACGGCGTTCCGTACCCCCTTTCCTTGTTCTAGCCCATGTAAAAATCGTTGGTACGGTGGCCATGTACGGCAAATCTCCGAACCACTTTCGAAAATCACTCCCAAAAGTGCGAGGTACGGAACGCCGTGATAGGCTCCGTATCCAAGACTGATTTTTTACAGTAAGGTTTGACAAAAACTCCTCAGATTTCGAGGAAGTCTCCTCAAAATATGAGTGGTTTTCCTAAAAAAAAATCCTCAAAATCTGAGGCCAGATCGGAGGACTCTTCCTTAAACATGGGAGTTCCTCAAAGTTTTCCCATTTTTCTTGAAAAAATGTAACAAGTGTAATTGGTGGCTGCGCAGAGAACTAGAGTAACTCCCCATCTAAGTAGCCAGGCCCTTCCACTGTTCTCCATGCAGCCACCAGTTACGCTCGTTCTCTGGCAGTGGCTGAGTTACGCTTGTTCTTTTCGGAGCCAACGATTTTTATTTCAACTGTGCTACATGCTCGCGTGCGGGCGGGTTTGCCTAACATCGTTGATCACGGTGCCTTACAGCCCGAGCAACCCAGAAGCGCTTCTGCATTAAATGCGCTTCAATGCGCATTGAAATGCACATGAAAGGTGACGCATTGGTGACGCATTAAATGCACGTATACGTATAGTGCACTAAGTGCGCATTAAATGCGTATTAAATGCTGTAATGCACTTTAAAAGCGTCACCAATGTGTCACCTTTTATGTGCATTTCAATGCGCATTGAAGCGCATTTAATGCGGTTGGCGCTACTAGGGCAAGTAGCCAACCCACCCTCTGCGTACAGTAATCTAAAACTACGAAAACGGTGCGGTTCGAATCTGCAGCCACAAGCATTTTCAGCACTTTCAAAACCTTACACTGAATCTGGATCTATGATACTTTTATCACAAAAGTTTGCGATAGCTCAATTTTGTTATTCCTCTGATTTATCGCTTTTCAAGACATGATAACTTAAAAAGTGTCTTATATTTTCAGGTGGTCATGTGACATTTGTTGGCTTTCTTAACACGTTCGTGCACACCGTGATGTATGGGTATTACCTGGCAACGCTCCTCTTCGACATGCGACGCTTTATTTTCCTCAAAAAGTGGATTACAAGAATGCAGCTTGTAAGTATATTTGCAGTCATGCCAAGAGGCTGTCCACCTCCTCACACTCTGCAAATCTAACTGTATAATAACTTGACAGTTTAAACTGCAATACTATAAGTCTTACACTTAAAACTGCGAAACTAAACAGTTCTACAGTTTAAACTGCAAAACTATGTGTAGTTCAACAGTTTAAACTGCACAAATGCATAGGGCTAGTTTGACAGTGCAAACTGTTGAACTACGCAGTTTTGCAGTTGAAACTGTGAAACTTTTAGTTTTGCTATTTAAATAGTCAAGTTGTTATACAATTAGATTTGCAGAACAGAAAACCGTATCTTTCCGAGAACGAAATAATGATGAATTCATCGTACAGTGAAAAACAAATTTATAAAATACTGTGGTGCTTAGGACAGCTGTAACATCCTCAGTAGAACATTGCTTCCACATCGTTCACAAGAACATTCTGTTACCGGCTCACCTCGCAACACCATGCGGTGTCTTTTGACGTCTGTGTCGGAGGCGAGCTACAAAAAGTTCTTGAAATAAAAGTATGTCGCTCTGATCAAGACGTCCTTAGCACCCCCTCTGTTTGTTTTTCTCAGTTTTCGTCTTAAGATCAAAACTAAAAAGTTTTTTGTGTTTTTTAATTTTGTTCTTGTTAATTGCGCGAACGAAACAATTCGACTTCGGTTTCTAGCAGTTAATGAAATTTAGTTTCCCTAAAAAGGCGGTTTTCTGGGTGTCGAGGCTTTATCGATAAAATGTTTACGATGTCATTTTGATATCGTCTTAGTGACCTGCTTAGTTCTTTGTCTAAATTTCAGAAAAGAAATTTAACTGCTTGGCTCGTGGGTCTTTTTCTTTTCAGTTCCAATTTTTCTGCGTATTCATCCACTCGGCGCAGGTGTTCCTCCAGCCATCCTGCCCCGTGTCAAGAAGCAACATGGTGTTCCTCATGATCCAGAGCCTCATCATGACCGGCCTGTTCTCTAATTACTACTTCCACGCGTACATTAAAAAGAAGGAAGCTTAGTGTACGAAAACCTCTGGAAATTACACCTAATCCACGGGATAAATTGTTAAGCCCCCTAGACAGCACACATTCTCTTGCTGGATTCCGATAGTCAATCTTCGGGGCCATCACACGACAAATCAAATCATTAATCCTCGGAGGATTTTTCACGCCCTTGCAGTGTTTGTTGTTATCCTGGCAGTAAAGGCAGTAAAGTCGTCTTGCCTACTCGCAGTTGCAGGCGCAGAAAGTATGTCCATCTCTCGCCGTTAAGAACCTGCCACATTCGTTCTCTGCAAGCGCCCATACTCTGCAAACCTAGGTGTGAGAGACTCACGCCTTTTGGTGTGAGGCACTTTTGTCCTACACCTTTTGGTGTGAGATACGTGTGTACTGCATCTTTTGGTGTGAGGTACACGCGCCAAAAAATTGTCGTTGTTCCAACGACATGTGTCACTGGACCAACAACATTTTGTCTTTGTAATGGTGTATTTCGACTAACGGAGGAAGAAGAATGGCGGGTAAAACATGAAGGTTGCTGATTGGCCTAGCGCCTACCACCACTACTGGCGTGACGCAGAGGCGGGAAGCTTTTGACCAATCGGTAACGTTTATGTTAGATCGGCTATTCTTCTTCCTCCGTTAGACGAAATACACTATAATGGCTTCAGGAACATAGGATGCTATTCCAACGACCACGATATATGCTGGCTCAACGACATAGCCGGTGGCACAGCCACCGGCTCTCATAGGGCTAGCAACATCGTGTCTTTGGACCAACAACCCGCACACAAGAACACGACGGTCGCTGGAACAATGATTTTTTTCCGTGCAGTGCGTCTGACGCCTTCAGACGAACTATACCTCATACCAAATGGTGTTGTACAAAAGTGTACAACACCAAAAGGTGTGGGAGTGTCTCACACCTAGGTTTCCCAGAGAGCGCCTTGTGGGTAGGCAACACCTTGCCTACAATGCATGCGTGTACTGCGAGGTGGCCTACCCTAAGTCTCGCAGGCGCCGAGCTCCCGTTATTCGCCGAATGAATCAGAGAAATACGGACTCTCTGGACAATACCACCTCCATATGGATGGAAAATACCTTGACTTGCTTATTAACGCGAACATAGATGTCCGCCTGGTGCCCTGATAAATAAGGTGTACAACTGGTATGCACAATGCAAGTGCATAACGGTACGTTGCACAAATTTAATGTTCGACTGGATGTTTGAATACTAAAAAGTGTTTAACAGTAAACTTGAACACTTCAGGGATAGACTCTTTAAAAAGTTTAATTTTACTGTTTAGCACTTTTAAGAATCCAAATATCCCGTCTAACACCTAAGAGTCTAAGAGTGTGACCATAGAGTTGAACACTACCATGTGCATGCGAACTTGCCAGTTGTACACTTTTTTTCAGTGGGAGGAGGCTGGAGGCGAATTGGAAAAGAAGGGGGCTACAAGTAGGTCTAGATCCAAGTCGAGATTACTAATTTTGGACTAACTGGACAGACAAAATTTGTTAGACAGGGGGTGAAAAGTGAAGTCTTTCTTCCTGGGTGCTGAAATGATTGTTTACAATATTGATCTCACGACTGACTCAAACCTGTTGGGCTTGCTACCTGCAGTCAATAAAAGCTGTTTCTTATATAAATGTGTGTGTGCCATCATTTTAAGTTAACCTTTACCCTCATTGTAGTTTAATTATTCCAACTGCCGAACAAAAATTTGACGTGCTTGTAAATCAATTAATTTTCAACCTCCCTAAAAGAAGTTTCATGCCTCGTAATGGTATGCACCCGGCTACTCTACAGGCGAGTCAATGAGAGCCTAATCAACCAGGGGCTCGACTATCTCCCCTCGAATAACAAGCGATATCAGAGTCAGTCCCGACTTCCTCGCTGCTGCACTGTGATGAGCCGCGCCGACTCTGTGCGAAACAAGTCCGCGCCCCAACATGTTCTCTCACGGGGACATGACGAGGTACGGCACCTGCTGCGGTCGCCTACTTACAAGACGGATTCGTTGCCGTGAGTTTGTCGTGAGCTTCTCTCGTGCTCTGCAGCTCGACGCGGGAAACGCAGTCCGCAGACGTGCGGCCCGTGGGTCGGCGCTGGCTCATGCTGGCCATCTTCTGCCTCGTGACGCTGACCAACGGCTGCCAGTGGGTGCAGTTCTCCATCATCGACAACTCGGTGGCGGCGTACTACGGCACCTCGCGGGACGTGGTGGACTGGACGTCGCTGCTCTTCATGGTGACCTACATCCCCGGCATGCTGCCGGCCGCCTGGTTCCTAGATAAGACCGTGAGTTTGTGCGCCGGGCCGACGTGAGAGCCGACAGAGCAAAGGTCAAAGGTCACGAGGGACTTGTGCAGGGCCTGCGCTGGACCGTGCTGGTGGCGGCCGCGGGGAACTGCCTGGCGGCGTGGCTCAAGGTGGTGGCCGTGCGCCCCGACCTGCTCGCCGTGCTGTTCGCCGGTCAGGGCGTCGCCGCCCTGGTCAACTGCTTCGTCCTGAGCGTGCCGCCGCGCCTGGCGGCCGTGTGGTTCGGTGAGCGCCAGGTGTCTACGGCCACCGCGATAGGGGTCATCGGCAACCAGGTGAGTGTCGTATCATATCGCCCCCGGCCACCGCCTCCCAACCCCTCAGAGATAACGCCTCGTTGACTGACAGCTGGGCAACGCGCTGGGGTTCGCCGTGCCGTCTGTGCTCGTGAGAGCGCCGCCTCCAGCGGCGGGCTCCTCCCTCGAGGGCATCGGCGACGACATGGCCCTGATGAGCTACATCGTCGCCGGCGTCACCACGGCCGCCCTCCTGCTGGCGGTGCTAGGTGCGACCAGGTGACTGCCGATCACACGCATTTACTCTCCGTAAAGTGTCCGAATGGCCGAGGTATCAAGAAAGAGCCTTGCGTTGCAGCCTTCCAGGCCGCCCCGCCCCTCCCCCCGAGCCAGGCGATGGCTGCGGCCCTGGAGTCCGAGAGGGCGGGCGACGGGCACACTGAGTCCCTCTCTCAGTACTGCCAGTCGCTCAAGTCCCTGGTGGGGAGCCCCGGTTTCCCCCAGCTGCTCGTGGCCTACGGCATCATCAACGGCGTGTCCTCGGCGGCGGGCACCCTGCTCAATGGGCTCATCACCAGCGTTTTTGTGGTGAGTTTAGTCTGCAGGCGACTGGGGTCCGAGGGGTACTTCACTCACGACAAAAAAATCAGTGTACATGTACACCCTCCAAAGAAATCAGAAAAAAATAAGAAAAAAAACGATTAAAGTAAAAAAAAAGAAAAAATCAGAGAAAAAATGAAGAAAAATAGAAAGATTTGTGTGCGCTTGAATTTGTTGTGAATTACCCCTCTTTAGAGATGACCTGCGGCGACTAACCGCATCCGCTTTAAGGACAGTGAAATGGACGCCGGTCTCATCGGCCTCACCATGGTGGTGGCCGGCCTCGTCGGCTCCGTGCTCTTCGGACTGCTCCTCGACGCGACGGCCAAGTTCAAGTGACTGTTAACGGATGCCAAATTTCATTAATTAAATGACCAAGGAGAGTATTGCACTAAAATTCGCCGCTCTCTTTGCAGAGAGCTGACTGTTGGAGTGTACGCCCTGTCGCTTTTAGCGGTGGTGGTCTTCACGGGATCTCTCTATTCCGGTAAAATTTGGACCGTGTATGTGGCGGGGGCTTTTGCAGGGTAAGTATTCGGTGTCCATTTGGATCCAAAGAGTTATTTAGGAAGAAAAAACGCAAACCCTCTGCCGGGGCTGTTGCCTTCGGGGTTGTTGATCGTTTCTTTGGCTCAGGTCCACTCTGGCCGGATACATCCCCGTGGGCTTCGAGTTCGCCGCCGAGCTGACGTACCCGGCCCCGGAGGGCACCTCGTCCGGCCTGCTGAGCGCGGCGGGCATGCTCATGGCCGTCGTGTTCACGCTCGTGTGCGAGCGGCTGCTGCCGCTGGCGCGCGGCTGGCTGTGGACGTGCTGCTGCATGATGGGCGTCCTGGCGCTGGGCGCGGCCTTCACCCTCACCATCCCCAACAACCTGCGCAGGCAGCAGGCCCAGCGCACCGCGCAGCTCACTGCCAGGGAGTAATTGAAATAAAAATTCAGAATTTGAAACGAAAATAGTGCGAGTGACACCGCCATTGTGCTCTACACGTTTACATGCCGACCAAATGGCCCGGGTGGAATAGAGTTCACTTCATGTTGGCAAATTTAAGTTAAAAGTATACCGGGTTTCCGGGCTGAGACATGCCAGTACGTTGGGTTGCCTATGCACTGGCTGCAGAGGCCGCAGGCGCGAGGCGGGTGGTGGGGGAGCTGCCACTTCCCCGCCACACGCCCCGCGCCTTCTGCCCCTGCAGCTAGTGCATAGGCAACCCAACGTACTGGCATGTCTTAGCCTCGACATCCGGTACTTAAAAAAAAAATTTGTGTGGTTCGCGACAAACACAACAAGTCATCAGTTCAAAAAGAACTGAAACGCTAGGCTACTTTGTGAGAAAGTGGCAATTAACTTCGAGTGAATTTGATACACCAATAAAGGAGCATACTTTTCACTTCACTTCAACAATTTCATGTGCACTTCTAGTGTTCTGCTTGCAGATTGAAGTATGCATAGTTTATTTTTCTGTGCTGAGTCCCACGTGACCACACGTATGGTCACAAAGCACGTGATTAATGACCCCCTGGGACCCAACGTGTTAAGTATGTGTATAAGTAGATGTTTTTGTCGTTGTTTGTTGTTCAAACATTTTCAACTATGACATAACTTGAAGTTCAGTCGAACCGTCAACTGAAAGGTGAACTCTTTTTCACCGGGGGGCTCGTCCTACGTCTAAAATAATCGACATTTCATTGACGACGCCTTAATTTAATCGTGATGCGATTGATGAGTGACAAATGTTTGGTTCGTCGTGCATTCACATGTTTTAAATTGATGTAAACTACAAAACTTTGTGGGAATTTTTTTTAATTAACATAATCAGGTAAATAAGGGTAAAAATCAAGTCCACTATCTGGAAAACACGGCATAAATTCGCCGCAAAACCAGGGATCCGTAACTTAACGTAACGTAAAGAAATACCTTCAAAAGATCGTGCCAAAGTTGGAGGTTGTTACAGAATATCCAAAGTTTTTTCAGACATATATTAAAATCAACTCGTTCTATTTTGAAATGCGCCTGCACCATCGATTAGTCGATTTCTACTCCTTTCGTCCCTTCACGCAATCAAATCAGTAACTTTTTATTTCAGGGGTCGGTTAAACAGTATAAACTATGACCTGAACACACTGTGAGAAAATCAACGGAAAATCGACGGACAACTGCGGCAATTACTTTCCGAACGTGTCTGTACCCTGAATTTCGTTTTACGGTCGAAGCAAAACGGTTGTTCCGGGTTGTTCCGTACCTTATTTCTGGGGTGCGGAGGAACCGCATCACACATTTACCAAAAATGTTTTTTCGGACGCGTCCATACTCTAAATTTAGTTACATAGTCTAACTCAAGGGGTTCTTCCGTACCTCTTTTCTGAAGTATGCTATAACGGAATGTCCGTTGCCAGTCCCGTATTATCAGACGATTTTTTCCAGTACAGTTTAAATAACGTTCAGGGGCACTTAAGAGTTAAGGAGGACCCAAAACACAACATCAGGGTTTGTCTCATTTCCAGTCAACCTTACGGAAGGGGACGGAACTTGAGCCACATTCCGCCCTTGTAGTTAAGGAAGGGGGCCGTGGGGTCGCGCTGAAGCGGCAGGACTTGCTTGTCCCCCGGTGACACCTCGAAGCGCTGGATCAGTGTCACCAGGGCCACCTTGACCTGAAGGGAGCCGTACTTCATGCCCGGGCACTGCCGAGGTCCGTCGCCGAACCCAAGGTACGCGTTTTTGGGTCGGGACTCAACCTCCTCGGGGCCGAAATGGTCCGGCCAGAACTCGTCGGGGTGCGAGAAGTAGGCCGGGTCCTTTTGCACCGCCTCGACTGGGATGTATACGGGCGTGCCTACATCGAGGTCCACGCTCGGGCCATCCGCGGACCGGAGGGTCGTAGGCTTGGTGCACACCCTGCGTATAGTGTCGGCCACCGGGAACAGGCGCATGGTCTCTGCCGAAGCAAAGTCAGGTGTTTTTGGCAATTGGTTGAAGAAGAAGAAGAAGAAGAAGAAGAAGAAGAAGAAGAAGAAGAAGAAGAAGCCATCACACGCACCTGTAAGGACCTGATCGAGGAAGGGCAGCGTCATCACGGTGTCGTGGTCCAGGGGCTGGCCGCGCTTGAGCTTCTCCCTGAGCTCGGTGCGCAGCCTGTCCTGCTCTCTCGGGTTGGTGGCCAGCTGCAGGAGCACGGACCCCAGGGTGAGGCCGCTCGTCTCGAACGTTTCGACATATGAGTTGATGGCCTGGCCAGTACTCTTGGTCAGCTTATCCTCCGCTGGGGACAGCAGTTTCATCGGTCTTGGATAGTTTCTTACCCTCTCCTCCCTCTCCAGGACGCGTCCGAACCGAACAGTCAAGCGCCTGTCGGACGTTGGGTGGGCCACCCATCCTACTTTTCCCCACCCAGAGTGTCCGAGTGTGAGGCTCTTTACCCTCACATACTGGTGTAGCCGAGGGCGTCGTACTCATGTATTACTTACCGATCTTTCCGTCCACCATAATTGTCTTGGCGGCGTGTTGTACAAAGTCGTCACGTGTCACTCCTTCCTTGTGTCGGTAGTCGACGGAATCACGAATCAATTTACGGAAAAAATCGAAAGTGGAGTCGCTGACGATGCTGGACCGGAAAAATGACAAGCCTGTATAGTCATGGCCAGATGGCTCGTGCGGCTGGTGGGCTTGTGTGTTTCAGGCCTATCAGCCTGCAGCTCGCCAAGTTCCCTTCAGTTATAAATTATAAAGTATCTCTTACTTGTAACCGATTACTTTGAGCAGAGCGGGAAAGAAAAGGATCGAGATAAATCGTAGGTTCTCAATAAAGGTGCCGTTGAATATCGAGTGGCCCATCTCGTAAAACACGCCTGGCTCGGCCCCAACCTGCGGACGCACGCGAAAAATATGATTGTCTGTTCCTTCTCACGCCACGCTGTAGTTTGTAGAGGACGCGACCCACCTCAAGGCTGCGCGACTCGATGCCGAACAGGACGCGTGCGGAGGCGTGCGCGGTGAACCGCTTGCACAGCAGCTCGCCGTCGTGGGTGACGCCCGGCTTGCTGGCCGCTATGAAGTCGGCCAGGCAGTCGGCGCTTGTCGCGAGGTCGCCGAAGGCGATCTTCACGCGGGACGGGCTGAAAGCCTGCGACAGCCGGAGGCGCAGCTCCTTCCACCTGCATTTGTCAACCAGATTGCACTTCACACCTTCAAATCACGAGTTATACTGTGCCGGGTGTAACTGTGAATGCGCAGCAGTGTTGCGGGTTTGCCTACCTAATTCGCCCGTAAGGCGCCATGGCCCCTGCAGCCCTGGCGGGTATCCAATCCCGCAACACTGCTGCGCATTCACAGTTCCAACCGGTACATCTTTCGGGTGTCCAGCTGCTGTGCGATTTAAGTCGCACAGCTGTCGGACAAATCAGCTTACATTGTACCGGGTGATTTAGAGAAGGTGCAGGTGCGAGTGGGTTAGCCCACCTAAGGGGCTATGACGCCTTACGGACACAGCAAGTAGGCAAACCGGTACCTGCGTCTTTTCTGAATCACCCAGTATACACTGTAAAAAGTAGTTTTTGGAAAACAACCTTTTTAGTGATGATTGTGTTGTTGACAAACAGACATGTTGCTCGAGAAAAATAACAAAAGTTGTTGAAAAATAATCATGTTTCATTTCAATTAAAAACAAGGAACTTGTTGTTCCTGGACAACTTTTGTTGTTCCTGGACAACTTTTGTTGTTCCTGGACAACTTTTGTTGTTCCTGGACAACTTTTGTTGTTCCTGGAC